GGGGGGGAAGGGAAGCGGGCCTATCCCGGCGCACGTCCGCGGAGAGCGTCCCTCCCCCTGAGGAGAAGCTCCGCCCTCTAGTGGGCGGGGAGAGCGGGAGATGGACAGAAGCGCGCCTGGTGGTGGTGGGGAGGGGTGAAGCTCTGAGGAGGGCGGTTGGAGGCCTGGCTGGGCGAGAGGAATTTTTTTTTAAATTATAATATAATTATCCCATCTGTTCATTAACCTGATTTCTGTCCCGCCTTTCCTTCAGGAGCCCCTGCCTCCCTTTTGCTCCCCAACCCTCAACAACAACCCTGCAAGGTAGGCTTGCCAGGTCAGGGACAAGAGAGAAAGGCGGCGTTGAAGGACCAGGCCCAAAGCCTCCCAGGTTGCTTCTGGACTCGGGACGGGTTTGAGCCTGGCCCTCAAGGCCCCCAGGTGTTGTGGGTTGCCCCCCCACGGGGGGGCTTTTAAGAAGAGAAGTGGTACATTAGAGTCTCCTCCTCCTTGAGCAGGGGGCTGGACTAGATGACCTCCAAGATGTCCCGTCTCTGCTGGGGTTGTTTGGTCAGTGGGATGGGTCACCTTCAGAAGCTGTGGGCGCTCCACATCCCCCTCTCGGCTTTTGAGAAGAGACTGGACAGCCCCTTGTCTGAAACGGTATTGGATCTCCTCCTTGAGCGCGGGGGGGTGGACTAGAAGACCTCCCGGATCCCTTCCAGCTCGATCACTCTGGAGTTTAGAAGGAGCTTGATAAAAATCTGATTTAAATGCCTTCGAAGGTTTTCATTGAAACGTTAATATAAGGCTTTCTTTTATTCGTAGGAATGAAATGTATCCTTGCTATTTCGGGGGATTTCCCCAGGAAAGCGGGTGACGCTTTTAAGCTGCGATCCTAATTCCCTGGATCTGGATTTCAGTTGCCTCATCTGGAGATAAGAAAGAAAGAAAAAGAAAGAAAGAAAGAAAGAAAGAAAGAAAGAAAGAAAGAAAGAAAGAAAGAAAGAAAAAAAAAGGCGAAATTATGACGGTTTCTCAGCGGATGTGCCGGGGCTTCTCTGCAGTATTTACCCAGAAAGGGTCTGTCTCTCCTTGGCTTTGTTCCCTACGCTGCTTAAGAGACATTCCTGGAAGAAAAAAATGGATATGGTCTCCAAGCCCACAATCCACAGCTCTTCCGGACCGGAGGCTGATAAGCACATCCCTGTCAGTCTATAAATTACACAAAAGAGATTTGGAGGAGATGGTGAGATCCTCGGAAGCGCTTTCTAAAGAGGAGGAGGAAGAAGAAGAGAAATTTGACGCTGATGAAAGCTTTGGGTTGTTAACTCAGAAATATCCTCCCAAGCCCTTTTCTCAGGCATCTTCTGCTGATTTGCACAACGTACGGCTCCAAACCAAAGAAGAGGAAGAGGAGTTAGAAATAAAGCCCAGATTGGGTCGAAGAAATACCCCATACTGGTATTTTTTACAGTGCAAAGCGTTGATAAAGAAAAATAAGGTCATTATCTTGGCTATGTTCTTGTTCCTTTTTTTTTTTAAAGATGGGGATGGAGTGGGTAATGAATGTCCTTGAAGGACAAGGGACAATCTGTTTGTTCATTGATTTAATAGATTTTTATCCTGCCTTCATTATTATACAAGCAGCTCAAGGTGACAAAACATTCCTAATACTCCTTCCTCTTCCTATTTTGTGCCCAAAATGTAGTCCTGTGAGCCCAGGTGATTTTATGTGTGTGTAGATATTTGTACGTGCATGTTGTGGTTCACTGGCTGCAGGTGCGGACGGCAGAGGTCTCTTGATAGCAAGGACTCGGGTGAGGGGCCTGCGTGTGAAACAGGGATGGGGCCAGGACTATCGGAGAGTGGGGTGCTGCCTTTGGAGGTTGTGGAGACTGGCAGCAGTGTTCCCAGTGCGCGTGTGCGCAGGGCTGCTCGAAGGAAAGTGCAGCTGAAGCAACAAGGGCGACTCGGGAATGAGGCTGGAAGGTGATGGCCCCTCCCATAAGGGATAAAAACCAGCCCTCGGGGATGTGTCCCTTGCAGGAAACAAAGAAGTTCTTTAGACTCAGAGTCCTTGTTGGAGCCCTGCTAACTCTGGTTTGTTTTTGAAACTTCTGTCGGTGGATATTTAATCAGTAATTAGTCTTCCGTTCTTGGCAGCCTTTTGCAACCTTGAAAGGGCTTGCTTTTGATATGAGACAATTTGGTTTAAATTGTCTCTCGGCTGGGAATGCAAAGAATTCCCAGCGCTGCATTAAAAAAGGTTTGCTTTTATACACGGTCTGTGTTCCTTTAATTTGAACAAGGCTTGGGTCAACAATGCAGCCATCGGAAGTCTGGAACGGGATTGTAAATTTTTCAGCTGTTCCGTTTGTAACTTCAAATGGTCGCTAAGCAATCCGTTGTTAAAGCGAGGACTCCCTGTATTTACCCCATTATTATTATTTTTTTGGCCTCAGTGCAGTTTTGGTAGTTCAGACTTCTTGATCTTGTTGAGCTTTGTGGGGGTTTGCAGTTAATCCTCTTCCTTAACCCTCTTCTCCGCAGCTGGCTGAGGCTCTTGAGCTGTTCGAGGTCCAAATGCTGAAGGAAGAACGTCTCAGGCCCGAAGAGTTCAACTACACGGTGCTGATTGGGGGATGTGGCAGGGTTGGGTACCTGAAGAAGGCCTTGAAGCTCTACAATGATGTAAATACCCCAAGATTCTTTCAAAGGGGATTTTTATCCCGGCGGGAGGTGGGTTTGATTTAAATGAATGAGGAAAAAAATGGCTGGCTTAAATCCGTGATTGGAGGGTACTTGCAAAGATGACAGATCCCTTTAGTCTTTTTTCCTTGCTGAAGCTTTTAAATACTTTTGTCCTGTTACCTTCTGGGGAGGCAGATGAAAAAGCGAGGCCTGACGCCGACGATTGCCACATACACGGCCCTCTTCAACGCCTGCGCAGAGACACCCTGGAAAGACAGTGGTCTGCAGAGCGCCCTTAAGTTACGACAGGAACTGATTCAAAAGGGCACAGAGTTGAATCCAATTGCGTATCGTGCATTGTTGAAATGCTGTGCTCTGTGTTCGGATCTCCGCATGTGCTTGGATATCTTAAAGGTAAAAAGAAAAAGGGATTGTTGGTGTAAATGTATAATTGTTTGCAAAATTGCATCTATCAACTGCCTTGGAAATCTCATGTTCGTTCTCAGAATATGACCTAAATCTCCATCATAATAGTTTATATGCTGCCTGGCTCTGCGTATAAATAAACCATATCATGTTCCACAAACGTTTAAACAAGAAGCTTAAGGGGAATTTGTGAGGTTGCGGTTGGAAAAATACTTGTTATGAAATATATCCTTTAGAATTCATTGTTGTTTCACCCATTTTGTAATAGTTCGTGTAAACCAGAACAGAAACTCCTGGTTGTTTGCAAAGAATTGGATGATGGGTTCCTAAAAATAGGCTGAAATTTTCTTCACAAAATTAAAATTATGGCAGGATTCACATGTTGCAGTACAGCCACATCTCCCTGCCTCATAAAACATACCAAGCTAAAACCAGACATAAGGCATAAGGTGGTTTAATATAGTTAGTGAAAACAGTCAGAAGATGGTGTTTTGTTGCCTAAGGCACATTAGTTTCTGATCCACAGGTGACCTCAGCCTTAATTTTTATCCTTCATTTTAAAAAGAAAGTTATGGCAAAATTTCTTACGATCTGTTTCCTGGGAATACGACATTTGGATTACAGAACAGCTGATCTTCCGTTACATGTTTATATTGAAGAGTAATTACGGAATCCCTACTTTTCCTCAGGAAATGGTGGGAAATGGCCATGAAATCACCACGGATACTTTCAACATCCTGCTCATGGGATGTATAAACGACAAAGAGAACGGGTTCCGCTACGCTTTACAGGTCTGTTTTCTGCCCTTCCCTCCCTTCCAACGGTGGGCACACCCGAGCTCTTTCTGCCCTCCCTGGTGCAGGCTGACCGGGGAATTCTGGGAGCTCTTAAAAGATATCCAAGCTGAGAAACACTAACTCAGATGGATGTGCATAAGTTAATGATCGGTACGGTTGTATTTTTAAAAAAACAGGTTTGGCAACAGATGGCAAAGCTGAACCTCAAACCTGATCTGTACACTTACAATTTGATGCTGACAGCGGCCAAATACTGTGGCATTGGCGACTCTGAGGTGGCTTCTAAATTGCTACTAAGACCCTCGGAGGAACGCCCAAGTCACCTGAGGCTGAATTCTGGCAGAGAACAAGGCACAAAGAGTCAGAGAAAGAAAAGAACGAACGCCCCGGCTTTAATGTTACCGGATGTTGAAGCTCTGGAGAAAAATATGTTCCCAGGAGACGATTCAAAACCTGAGAGGCCTGATAGAAACCAAGATGGCGCCAAGGACAGCGCAAAGCCGGAGTCAAGCGATCACTCGGATTTGTCAGACCGCGATACAGACGGGAGTTTGGTGATCTCTGATCAGGGCCAGTTGGTTCCGGAATCAACAGCAGAAAACTCCTTCTCAGAGCCTGCCATTCCCCTCCCAAACTTGCTGGATTTGCAGAGCCCAGCCCCACATGTGGTTTCCTTAGGGACGGTGGCAACGCCCTCCGATCGACTGGCCCTGATGGGAAACATGGAAGGATTCTTACAAAAAATGAAGGACGACAAGGTGGCCGGGAACCTTCGGACGTTCATATTGCTAGCCGAAAACGTGGAACTCAACAGCCCGTCGGAATCTTCTTTGTTGGCCGTCATGGAGGAGAACAACGTGAAACCCGATGTGGCTTTTTTTAATACCCTGATCAGAAAAAAGAGCAAGAAAGCCGATCTGGAGGCGGCAAAGGTAAGATCGTCCCTTTCTGGGGCGTGGGTCACTATTACGGGAGCACCGCCTTAGCCAAATTCAGCCTTTTAAATACTTAATTAGATTTTTAAAAAAAATCATGTTAGCTTTGGAAGCCATATTAATACCAGAAGCTTCCACGCTGCCACATTCCTGTGCCTGGAAAAGTAGGAGCGGGGAATTGTAGAGTGTTGGTAGTTAAGACATAATAGCATTCTTCTCTTCAGTCAAGGTCATGTTATTCCTGCACCTGGAGGAGGAGTGATTGAAGGGATGTCTCTATCTGGGGTGGATGGTGATTGGACCCTGTGGTGGACTGATGGGTGCAGGGGTTGGTTTTGGACTTTTGAATTACTAAGGGAAAACCCAGAACTCTCAAGATTCGGTTTTTCCCAGGTGTGCCAGTATACCTACTCTAATAAAAGGAAACCTTGAGAAGATGCCTGTCCAGGAGTTTTTCATTGGAGTTGAGTTTTTCTGGAACGCTGACATCACACCTGTATTACTTTATAAGTAACTGAAATCGACAAAGATACGTAATACTCCATTGGCCCCTTATTTTGTCCACAGCAATAATCCAGTGAGGTGGTTGGGCTCAGAGAAAAGTGGGGGGGCACACCCAAGCTTGAAAGCCTAAGGCGGGACTAGAACTCACAGCCTCTCCTGGTTTCGGATGCCTGGTGCTTTAACCACTAGGCCAAACCAGCTCTCTTTGTAAGACTTTTTATTCCTGCTTTATTTTCAGGCCAAGGCCGCAACGATACGTTGGAAAGGTCAGCTTCATCAGTGCTTGCATGTTTTGGGGAATGGATATACAGCCCTGCTTAACATCTTTTTTGATTTACAGAGCTTGCTGCCTTTAATGTTGCAACACGGACTTTCGCCGGATCTGTACACATTCTGTAACTTGGCCATTGCCTGCCGTAGACGCAAAGAAGGGATGCAGTTACTGTCAGACATGAAGGTACAAAACAATCCAACTGTTTTTAGCAGACCCAGGTGAAATTCAGAATTTTGAGGCACCCATTTTCCGCCTTGAAATATTTGCCGTAGTGTCAATATTCCCCTAGATTCGAACATTGACAGAGACATGCTCTTCCTTCACAACTGCCTTTGTTTCAAATATTTTGAGTCTCTCTGTGCATTCGTTTCAGCAATCTGGAATAAAACCCAACGTGCAGATCTACGGCGCGCTGATAAACGCAGCCGTGAGGCGACTGAATTACTCTTACGTCATCGAGATCCTGAAAGACATGAGCAGGAATCAGGTGGCTCCCAATGAATTTATTGTTAACATGCTGGAGTTTGCAGCCCAGTATCCTCCTAATTATGATAAGGTAAGAGTATCCTGTGTCTTTTGTGCTGGTGTAAACTTGAGCTGATTTAAGCCGTGCCTAAAATGTTAAGAAACTTAAAATTTCTTGTAAAATGTTTTAAATCGCGATGGGATATTGAAACTAAGTTAGGCATATTTGACTTGAATTGTTTTAATGCTCATTTTAAGCTTCATCTCCAAAGAAAACCCCATTCATGCTTTTATTTGTGTAACAAACCAATGATGGCTTATCATTGTCAGTTCTAATACAGGCAGACCTCAACCTACCACTACAATTGAGACATTTGTTAAGTGAGTTTTCTCCCATTTTTACAGCCTTTCTTGCCATAGTTTAAGTCAGGGGTCTCCAACCTTGGCAACTTTAAGGCTTGTGGACTTCAACTCCCAGAATTCCTCAGCCAGCTTTGCTTTAAGACTTGTGAACAGCTCTGCTGGCTGAGGAATTCTGGGAGTTGAAGCCCACAAGCCTTAAAGTTGCCAAGGTTGGAGACCCCTGGTTTAAGTGAATCCCTGCAGCTGATTAAGTTAGTAACCAACCTGGTTACGTGACTCTGGCTTCCCCACTGATTTTGTTTGTCAGAAGGTTGGAAAAGGGGATCCCGCGACCCCAGGACTCTGCAACCGTTGTAAATATGAGCCAGCTGCCTAGCATACGCATTTTGATCACATGACCATGAATGGCTACCGCAACAGTCGTTAAGTGTGAAAAACTGTCATAAGTCACTTTGTTTTTAACTTTGAACGGTCACCGAATCAATAATTGTAAGTCAAGGACCACCTGGACACGGTATTGTCCATGAAACCACTAGGAGTAATACTTGAATACAAGGAGGCCTCGTTCCAGTTGGGAAAGACGTTAAAAAGAAAAGCAGGCCCATTAAGTCTCAAATCTTGTCTTTGCCCAAGAAGACCCGCCAGGAATCATTGGACGTAGGAAAGCCTCCTGTCATCCCGCCTGCAAAGGCTCTACCCTGAGGCAAGGTGTGTCTTTTAATAGTTTGCATTTGTTTCTCTTCTTTGCAGTACCAAAAAAAGGATCATTATCTAGAAAAAATTGATGGCTTCCGAGCTTTCTATTTCCGTTGGCTTAAGTGGATGCCTGGAGAAGAAGCACCACACCCTTGGACAAAATACCGATATAAGAATTTGGCACAAAGCAAAGATGACACCAAGCTGGGACAAGATCAAGGCAGCCAGGAGCTAAAATAAAGCAAATATTGGTCATTCGTTATGGGATGCTGACACATTTTTTAAAAAAATTGCTTAATTCTGTACGTATCTGTTCACACGAAGCTTAAATTAACCCCCAGGTTAATACAATTGCAATCAAATTTATATGGAACAAAAAAAACACCCTTTAGTAATATACTGTCTAATAAATAACATGTTTCTATTATCAGTTCTTATTGGAGGTAATTAAATCTATTGCCCTGTTCATGTTCTAAAGGAAAGCTTATACTTGTTTTATAGCGATTGTGCTGTTCTATCTTTCTAAGCCATTTTATTAGCTAGCATGGGGAATTCTGGGAGTTGAAGTCCACACATCTTCCAAGTCACTAAGGATGAGAACTCTTCAAAGGAAAATATTTAGTAACCTAAAATTGCAAAACAGTGTTTGAAAGTACAGGTAGTGTTGAGCAACATTTGCTGCCATTATTCCCAACTACTTCTGGGAACATCGATAGAGAAAACCAGAGACTATATATGTATACTTTTAGTAACTAAATAACATTGGGCTTCAGTAAAGATTCTCAAAGTAAGTTTATTCTTACAGTATCCATACAATTGTTAATTAAAAAGGGACAAGTAGTTTTTTTAACATGGCAGTGTATAGAATTTTGTTTCAGCTTCCTGGTTTCTTTGCTTGAAATGGGAGTTGTTGAGTTCTAAGAATCCTATATTTACTAATGATCAGTATTAGTGACCCTCAATATTTTCAAATCATCAGAGGCTAAAGAGGTGCCTAATTTATTTATTTTTTTGCTAGAACTACTGCATGTAAATAATTTCTTAAAAATTGAAGAATTATGCTTATCATTGGGGAGAAGTAGGCAAGACTTTATTTTAAAATACAATGACAATACAGGACATGAAAACACATTACTGGATTTACACATTTAATTATTCCATCACGGGATACAAAGGGAGTCATCTCGACAGCAGGTTGTGAAAAAAATAGTTCTTGTGAGCAGTCCTTGATGGTAACAGTCACTTCAAACCTCCAAAAAGTTGGGGTCTCTTTTGAAGAACGTTTTCATCCAGAGCAGCCCCGACAGCCACAGTGAGTACACTCAATTATTCTCCCCTGTAGAATGAAACCAACAGATCAGTGAAAACATACCATAAAGTTATGCAAGATGTAAGGGCGGGGGGGGGAGTATTTTAGAGTAGGGATATTTTTTAATAGGACAGGAATTTCATACATTGTATACACAGTACATGATTGAGATTCTGAATATACAAGGGGAGAAGAAAGTGTAGAAAGCATGGCTGCAAATGACTTTTAAAAAGCAACATTCCTTACCACTTCCAGTTTACTTTTGGGCACTCTACAAATGCAATTGGTTCCAAAATTGGTATCGCGGGTCTGGATGCAGCGTAAGCAACAGAGGTTTTCATATCCTTGTTTCTTCCATTTTGCAATCAAGTTTTTGTCTGCGTATCCTTCTCTGATACAATATTCATATAATTCTACATAGGGCAGATAAAAATGAAAGGGTGAATAGAGCCCTCTTGATTAAATGAGCTAGAATTTGGAAACAAAGGTGAGCATTGGTAAAGGTGTATGGAAATGGCCTTGAAGAAGGAATTCAGTAAATACCACCACCCGTTAGAAACATGTTAAATTCCAATTAAGCTGATTTATTGTTCGTACCTATACACAAGGATGTACTCAACTAACAGCATTAAATTGGTGTAGACAAGAATTAACAGAATTCAACAGGAGTTGGACTGAGATTGCTTGTGGGAATGTAAGGATTCTAGGCTGATTCCTTGCTTGACTCTACCCCCCCCCCCCCAGGGTGTCTGTCCTGCATAAGCAGAACTGAGAAAGAAATTCAACATTGTTCCACCTTTTTTTGCTATTGACGGGATACGGAGAAACTATGCTAGGCTTTCAAGATTCTGTTCCAGTAGTCTTTGAAGTCCGACTTTCCTGACTTGACCAACCTCAAAGGGCTGGCTATTTTTCCCTCCCTACATGACAAAAAGACAAGGTTTCATCTTTTCAAGGAGAGATGAAAGAGCTATCTTACCTCTGCTAATGGCTTTCCTTTTGTAGAAGAGATCAAAAATATAGCGTGTTTTCTGATGATGAATTCTGAAGATGGGCCAAAGAGATTCCACTTTTCTTTTTCCTTCATGTGGCTCAGTCTCAGCTGAGAGAGAAACGGCACAGACCACAATATTATTTTCTCATTCCCACATACTTCTTTCCGTTTTTCTATAACGTGTGCAGCTAAGCCAGCCTTTCTCCCCTCTTTCTTTCTCTTACCTTCTCTCATTTTTTGATCCAGTTCATCTAAGGTTGGTTCAATCAATTCCCAGCCATCTGGAGGTGGTTTTCTGCTCCTTTTCACCTTGGGCATCTCTTCAAGAAGGAAGACAACCTGCAGAAGAAACATTTGAGATGTATGTATACAGTCTGATGAGGAAGACAGCAAATGAAATGGTGTTTGTGTGTGTGTGAAAATGTCAGTAGGAGACCTAGGACAGTGAGAATCTTATGTCCAGTTGATAAAAGCTAAATCCTAACCGTGTTTCTTAAAACTTTTTTGTTTCCTCCAGAGCCCTTCTCACTTAAAAATAAATAAATAATGGATCCTAAAAGAGTTTATATGGGTTATATTGAATGAAGGTAGTCCTTGTTTAGCGACTGCCTCATTTGGAGAAGGGCCAGGGGGGCAGAGAATGCATCGGTTTTAATTCAAAATATATTAAGAATTAAAACCGACACATTCACTGCCCCTTCCCCCAGCCCTTCTCCAAACAAGGCAGTCGCTAAACAAGGACTACCTGCATTCTATGAAATGCATCACTTCCAATTCTGAGTATGGCAAATGTCGTCCATCAATATAACCCACACAAAGCAAAGCTCTTTGGGGGGAGAGGGGTCCCGAGAGGGAAAAATACAGGTTAAGAAATGCTACCTGGAGGGATCTTCTGCTTATGCGGGGCGGAGAGGTGGGCTGGACTAGAAGACCTCCAAAGTCCATTCCGACACTGTTATTCTGTTGTCCTTGGAGACAATTTTGGAGAACCATTTGCCCACCATGTTATATACTAGGATCTCCTGCTTGGGCAGGGGAGACTGGACTCCAAGGCCCTGTCTTAACAGAGTTGGAAGGGGCCTTGGAGGTCATCTAGTCCAAACCTCCCCATGGGGGTTAGAGGGTCCCTCCCAGCTCCATTTTGATTCCGGATCTTTTCGAAGCTGGACTCCCCAAGAGCAGCTTTCCTCCCTTCTTCCAAGCGGGATGGCCGGGCTTCCACGGGGGGAAAAGGCCGCTTACCCAGGCAAGTCACACCGGCGAGTCCCGCTTCGAGCAAGAAACTCGCCCGGTGGATTTCTGCCAGCCACGCAGCGAGGCTTTAAACACGGGACAGGCAGGCAGACAGAGGCGGGGCACTAGGGAGGAGCACGGTCGGGTTTTCGGGGTCCCCCTTCTGGTCCGACGGGGGGGGGCTACTTACGGTTTTTGCGGGGGGCTGTTTTCCTCTTCCGCCTCTCCGGAGCTCCCGTCGCCCTCGCCGTGACGTCACCAGAGGGCCAGGCCCTCCTTGGCACCGCCGTCGCTTCCCAGGGGGCTTTTTCCTCGTCGAACCGTCCGACCGTCCGTCCACGAAAGTTGCCTGTTCGGCCCTGCGCCGGAACTCAGGCGAACCGCCTCCAAAAAAAAAATAAACCTCGAACGAACCTCCCGCTTCTTCGGAGAGGCCCGAGGCTTCTTCACGCGGTGCTTTTTAACCTTCCCGCCCTAAAGCTCTCGCCGTTTCCCGTCAGGCGGTAGACGAGACAACCTCAGAGCTGGCAACCCACGGAAAGGAGGCGGCCGGGGGGGGGG